GCCTGCGCGTCCGCCCTTTCGACCCCCTCCCTTGCCGGCGGGGGGCCGGCGCCCGCCCCCGCCGACATGTCGCTGGCCATGGAGGAGGAGGAGTACGCCAGGCTGGTGATGGAGTCGGAGCCCGAGTGGCTGCGGAGCGAGATCAAGCGGCTCTTCCAGGAGCTGGGCGAGACCACCCGGGAGAAGATCCAGGCGGCGGAGTACGGGCTGGCCGTGCTGGAGGAGAAGCAGCAGCTGAAGCAGCAGTACGAGGAGCTGGAGCTGGAGTACGAGACCATCCGCACCGAGATGGAGCAGCTGAAGGAGGTGAGGCGGCGGCGGGGTCCGGGCCTGAGCCTGGCCGCTGTAGGTGAGGGGTGCGAAGGCGGTTTGGGGAAGGCGGGAGCAGGAGAGGTGCGATCTTCGGAGGCCGGGGGCGGTGGGCTGAGGGGCCCCGGGGCTGCTGTGGGGCAGTCGGAGGGTCACCTCCCCTCCCTGTCCCGCAGAATTTGGAGCGGGGCGGCCAGGCCTCAGTCTTGCTCCAGGCTGTGCGGTTAAACCCTTCCTTCCCCAAAATGACAGCTCTTGGAGACGACTGCCTTTACTTTTCAGACCAGGAAAGGAAAAAAAAAAGAAAAAGAGGCTTTTCTGCCCTTGACCCCTCTCGTGTGCCAAGGGGATGTGGGAGGGGAGCAGGTCAATGCTTTTGCTTCTCTTCCCGTCCCGTTTTGTCTCAGGCTCTGGTAGCAGGTCGGCCTCGGGGCTGCAGCAAGGAGAGGAGCCTCTTGGCTGCCCCGGTGAAGCCGTGCAGCTCTGCCTCCCGGCCCGGGGCTGCTCTCTGCTCTCACCCCGCTCCTCGGAGAGGGGCCCGGGCAGGCGGTGCACGGCAATGCAGAGGCTGGGGATCAGGGTGCTGACGGCGGCCGGTATGCCTCTTCGGCGGCTGTCACGTGCCAGCTTTTGTGTGGAGGGAGAAACCTTGCGTTGGCGTTAATGACTTCCTTAATGCGGACCACTACGAAAATAATATAGCGGGCTTTAGTTCACACAGCTTTGTTTTGGTGCAGCTCCTTGTTGTTGGCCTTTTTAAAATCTTTTTTTAAAGGAGACTTCAGATCACATCTATTCTGTACAGTGGAGTAAGGTTTGTGAGAAGAAATGCTGTTTTCTTAGGTCCACTGACACATAAGTTTTTCTTCTCAAGATCTTCTCCAGATCTAGAACATGGGAAAAGCAGTGCCTCAGGAAGAGTCGTGCACAGAGTGGCACTGACTTGCCAGAATATGTAGATAAGTGGTTAGCTCTCCTTATGAGACCATAGCTGATCCCCTGCCAGTCTACTAGATATTATATCCCATGGGAACTTGTTTGTCTGCCTCTACCCTTGGTTATTTTGGTGACTGCTTCTGTGCAGGCAAACCCTGTGCTGCTTTTCAACTGATTTAGGCCTTGCCTTGGTTGCAAAAGATCTGACACAGCCTAAAAGGTGAATATATGTGGATTTATTTGACCAGTGCAAATTGTATCCAGTGGGTCTTTGGTTTAGCTCATTCAGTTGGAAATAGATTTGAAGTAACATCAAAATACACTATTTCAAAGAGAAAGTAGATACTTGCAAATGGACTGGTACAAATTCAGCTGAACCAGTGAACACCCTCACTTCCTGCATCCTGTGTGTCTTTTGGTTTTGTAAATAAAGCTTTATTCTGCTTTTATGATGTTAAACAAACATAAGAAAAAGAGGTCAATTACTTTGAATTACATGGCTATAAACTTGTTAACTAAATATGCAAGCTGAACTGATGTGCCCTTATAACTTGAGACGAACACAGCAGCATACAGTGGCAGAGATGCTACCTGAAAGTCAGGGGTAGAGGCAGTCTTGAAAAGAAGGTGAGAGCGATAGAGTTGTGCTAAAGGGAAAGAAAAGTCAGTAAACCCATTTGGTAGGTGGCATGGGAAGCATGGCATCGAGAGGTGAAGGGACTGGCTCAACCTCATTCAGCAAGCCAGCGCCTCACCCATGAATGGAAGCCAGGTTGCCTCAGTCACAGGTAGCGCTTTATTCACTGGGCCGTGCTGTGTACACTTGGGCATTACATGTTTTTGCTTTCAGATGGGAAAAGGCTTGAAGACAACTTCTTTTCATTCTTTTAGGGCTGCAACACTTCAGAAGCTTGTAAAAGAGTTCTTTAAAAAATGAAAATGGCAGGATTAGCAATGATTCACTCCTTTTTGCTTTTAACATTCTGAAGGACTTGCTTTGTGTGTACGTGTCGCGTTGTAATTAAGTCAAAACCTGGGAGGCAAATAATTCTGGGAACAGCTTGAGGATTCTGCTAGTTAGCCTACACAGGGAAAAAACATTGCTCCCCTAGCTTTCTTGTGATGCTGTGGAGGACTCTGGTCTGCATTAGATCTTGTAAACCTTTAGCAGATGCATGAAGCATGCTCACAGAGGAGGAGTTTATCTTCTTTTGCTGTTTATGCAAGAAGAGCCTGGCATGTAAGACTTGCTGCACTCCAACCTAAAGGGACTCTACGTTGGGTTACCTGAGGTTGTTCTTGGGGAAGGCAGGGGATTGATGGTGGCATGTCTGACTAGAGCAGGAGTGCTTTCCATCTCTTGCTTAACTGTGACTTCATGCAGCCTTTTAAAATACAGCAGTTCTAGTCTCTGTAAACCTTGTTTTGTTCTTCTCTACTACATCTGGAGACCTCAATAGCACAAGGCCATGTTATGCTGAGTGCTGTGCAGGCACACAGCAAAGTTTCCTGTCCTGCTGGGTGCTGTAGATTTGGATATGCTTTAATTTGCTTAATGTCATGAAGCACCCTGTGTCATGGCCCTGTTCATACTGTAGGTAGATGGGCTCCGAGCATGAGAACTTTGTAATATAGTTTGTTGAAAGTACAGGCTTTTCTGCTACAGTCATCAGATCTTCCTTAGCTTTCTGGCCAGGTTCTCCTACCTGTCCCCCATCCCCAGTTGTGGCAGAATTTCATAGCCTTAACCTCCACGGGCTTATCCTTTTGGTAAGTGCAGATGGCATTCTCAGAGCTGTACCCCATTTTGTAAAGATGTCTGTGTACACCCAGTATTTGCAATTCAAGTCCTCCTCGTGAAGCTGGGGAGCTGTCCTGACCTTGCACTGGGGCTCCACACCAACCTCTTTTTAGTCAGGGTCCTTGATAAATTGTTGACTCTTCCCTGAGTTTGTCCTTTTACCTACTTGCATGCTGACTTGATCTCATGTCTTTTATGGTAATTTGTGCCACATTTCTTCAATCGTTTTCATTTGAGAGAACTAAATTTAAATACAAACTGTCTCCCCAGGTGAACTTATTGATTATCGCAAGTCCCACCTTTGATTTTGTAAAAGGGAATTGATTTCAAACTTTTATTAAACACTATAGTTAAATAACACAGTTTTCCCTAGTTCAGAGAAATAAGATACTGGCTTTCTTGTAGTGAAATACTACATCACATTGCATACATATAACTTTTATTGCTGTTTTTCCCCTCTAGGGGATGAAGCAATAAACAGTTGTTTCTGTAGGCTGTGTTCAACTAGTAGGTCATCCTGTGAGCCTTTGTCTGCGATGGCGCTAATTGTATAAATTACAGGGCTGCCTACCTGCCTGAGCCGGGATTTCTGTACATACAGGGAAGATATGTAGGATCAGCTCTTTGTGCTCTCCAGCTTACAAAAGTGATTGTCTGGGGATTCAGTTATTGACATTCCTGATGATTTGTAGGGGAATGTGGCATGGAAGGTTAGCTTGGAAAAGGGGTTATCTGCCTTGCGCAGTACTTTTGAGTTTCTTTTGAGATGTCAGTTAGATTTGTAACTTGCTATTAGCTCAGTTATGAAACTGGCTGCTGTCCAAAGCTCTGTTCTGAGTAGGTGGTTATGTTGTATTGGTGGTGGCAGCCTTGTGTTTAAATCCCTTGGAAAACATGGGCATTATATTATGAATTATTTATTTCTGTAATAATGTAAAAGTATGCAAGTAGACTGTAGCTGTCCTTAAAGTCTAAAAGCATGTGTCAGTACATCACAGTTAATGTGATGGATATGGTTGTATATTGTTTTTAAAGGGGCGGGGGGGGAGCTTACAAGGAAGAGTGGCAATAATCTGTACATGATTCTTCATTTCTCTGTAGGGTGGCAGTGGCTCTTGTTTCTGTTTTTGCTTTAAGGATCGTGTGTTGACTGTATGCCATGATGTGAATCCTCTGTAGAGGATTCCTGGGTAGACTTGGAAGCTGTCTTTGAAAGAAACATTCAAATAACACCTTGAGCTGCTTCATTTCCCATTAAGCGTAAGTGGGGTGTACTACGCAACTGAGGTGGTATGTGCCCAGGCTGTAATATTTGTGCTTACATATGTAACTTACATATGTAACAGTTAATTGGATACGTGATACTTCATCCGGACTGATTTAATGTTTTAACTGTGCACCTTCAAAACTGAAGGAGAAATCATTCCCTTTCCTGTATACCTTATATAAGTGCTTTATACCTTATAGACAGACACATAAGCAAGTTATTGAAGTAGCAGTGATTTTCCTCACTGGATTTATGTACTTTCAAAGAATTTTACCAATATGCTGCTGTGCTCATTTTGTGTGTAGGTGCATAAGGGCAAAAGGGGAAGAAATGGCTGGGCTAAAGTCACCTAACAAGCCAGTGGCAGACTGGGATTAAATCCTCTGTGCTTGTAGTTCAGTGCTGGGTTGACCAGGTCTTTCCATTTAATCATGGTAAATAATGATGTTCAGTAATAATACCTCTAAGGCCTCAGGTACACCTCTGCAGCCTCCTCCTAACAAATATTCAGGTGTTATTTGCTGAAAGGGAAGGACCTTAATGGCATTTGAGATTACTTCTAACCCTCCAGCACTGTTAAAGCCAAAAGGTTTACTGCATAAAATAAAGGAAATGTTTTTTAAATAGACCAGCTTAGGCGAAATTTAATTCTGGTTATACGTGTGTAAATCTAGAATAGGAAAAGTACAACTACAAGTTGATGTTGGAGAACTGATACCAGTTTTGCACATACTAATGGAAAACAGTTACAGTTCTGTGAACCTGTCTTCTGGATTTAATGGTGATTGGTACTTTGACTCTAACACCTGCCACACTTGAAATGTAAGAAGAGAACAGAATTGCTGTCTCTAGTGTAAAATCAGACAGAAGACTGTGGTTGAAGTAAGCAAAATACTCCTGTGCAAACTAAGCTTCTTATATTTTGATAAATCATAGTTGGTTTACGTTAAGAATAGAGCCACCTGTAATTTTTATCTGATGTCTGCAGCAGTA